CTTTGTAATTGTGTGACGTAACCAAAGGTTGTGTCCTGGATTTCGCGGTGCCACAATCAGCTAACGTACCTTGGAAAATGCATGTAATGTGTTACGATTATTACATTAATTGTGCGTTTATTGTATTTATTTGCATCATTCTAGTCACCTTCTTCTCGTCTAACTGTTGAAGTGGTAGCCGGTGATTCTTTTTCCATGAAACATTTCTTTTTTCTCCGTTGCAATAAACCTTTTTTTCTTTTCTCCGTTGTACCCAAAGATGTTGTTGCATCTTTAAAAGTCAAAAAATTATATTCAGTTAGAATTTGAAATTAATTGTGAACTATGTGAGTAATTGAATTTGATTTATGATATATATACTGTGTATTTATCAATAAATCTGTATTTATCAATACTTAAAAAAAATTTCCTACTTGTACCATCACCTTCAGACAAAGGCATGTTAAACTTCGTTGATGCAGTAGGTTTCTTCTTCTCCGTTGTGTACCTCAGTGGTGTAAATTCCGTGAATAAATCGTTTGAGGTATCCTCGCGTATATCTGCAACGTCCACAAAAAATGAAAGGTTTAAACAGTTTAATCCGCTCCCAACCCATTCAAATGCATGGATTCTGTTATGGATATTATTTCCATCATAATTGACTCATTCATGAATTTTCTGTAACTATACATCTTATTACATTATACCATATGTAATGCAACCTGTAAACGCTTACCATTTCCCTTCGCAGATTTGCACTTGTCGCTGATTTGACTTTTTAATTTCTTCTTCCCCTTACGTTCTTCACCATCCATCACGTTTCCGACCGGAACACTTTCACGGAGATCTAAAAAATAATACTTTATGTAAAATTCCTGATAAATTCTCTGCCTGTTCCTAACCTGATTGGGTGAGAATTTCTGTACTTTTCAACGTCAACTTTTTCTTAGAAGCCGAGGAAGTAGTAATGATACGTGCAGTAACTGCAGCTTCATAACATTCTGCAAGTATACAATAATTTTATAAGAATAACTTGTACAGCAACTTAACCAGTTCCAGTATATATTAACGCTGATGATCATTAATTAACACCGACGTACGTCGGTGTTAAGTACATTCATTGCCGATGAATTATTTAAACCACCGATGTACGTCGGTGTTAAGTACATTCATTGCCGATGTAGTATTTAAACCACCATGTACATCGGTGGTTTAAATTGACGTTTATAAAATTAGAATAAAAGTTAAAAACTTTAACGCAGCTTGTATAACAGTTAAACTTTGAAAGAAGAATTAATACTGCTTATATGCAAATGAAATACCTTTGCTTGATGAAGTAGAATGTCCGTCCAGCGATTGTACGTCCAGAACCTCCTGTAATGCTTCTGACAAGGTTGATGCGTTATTGACGTTCTCTTCATTAACCACGATATTATCTACATAAATGGTGTGATAAACATTAAATTATTACCCAATAATGTACATGACAATTTACATTTCTCGCCTTTTTCAATGGACGCTTCCCTTCCGACTTTCAATAGCCGGTGAACATCTTCATGTGGTTCTGACGCTGGCACATCCTGGACACTTTCTGAAGAAATTCCCTTAAGCACGGTCTCTTCTTCAACAATTCCTTCCATTGAATCTACGCTGACGACTTCCGTGTCGATGTCATCTTCCGTCCGTGGCTCATTATCTTGTTCAACTTTGACTATATTCACGCATTCCCGGCGAAGTTCTGTCAAATCTATACAATAAGTAAAAGTTAATTTTTTCGTCCTTCATTTTTATTTCTCAATTTGATTTTCCATACTCACTGTACTTCTGTATGAGGTATAGGATATTATTGCGAAGCATCACACCTCTCCTCCCTGCTTGATCTTGTGGAACCGATTGAAACTCTTGTAGCATGTCTTCATTTAACTGCAACTCTTCGTTGAGGGTTTCAAATTCCTTTGCATCACTCATTTTAGGTACAACACCCGCGGTCATCACCGTGTGACGAAACGAATTAACGAGATCTTTTAACGCGGAGAACACTTGAGGCATTTCATTTATTTCACTGATTTGTAGCCTCTCTTCCAAAGGGAATGTTGGAATATCTGTAGTCATTGTATCCGCGGTTTTAAAATCACTTTTCTGAAAGGAGAAGGAAGAATACAAACAATTAATGCATGACGAAAATAATCTCGTATAATTGGTACGCATTTCAAGATTTTATTAATGTCGTACAAGTAAATATTAACATTTATTCCAGAACATTTTATTCAAATCGAATAAAAACTAAAAGAAAGCCATTGAAAAAAGTCACAACGTATTAACAACATAAGTAAAGATCGACGCTTTTTCTTTGAAGTAACCTAATCCTCCAACAATACTACAACATCATCGTCGACACTTCCCTCTTCTCTCTCCAGCACTGCCTTAGCCCTTTCAGAACATGTTTGACTATCATACACTTCAATTAACCCCATTTCTTTCAAAATGTAATTTGAAATACTGATTTCTTCAATTTCAGTTGATTCTTCAATTTGACGTCTTCTCTTTTTCGATTTCCGCTTCACTTTCAACATTGCACCCTGTAGTCGTCGTATCATCCGATTTTCTGCTTCTTCCTGAATGACATCTAGGAGATCACAGGACACTGTGTCTGGTTTGTTCGGCCTGAAAGGAACAGGAATTGTTCACAATCAATCTATTTGGTTTTGACTTTTTTCATTCATGTATAACTCACCCACGACCCAACAGATCTGTGACCTTTCCATCCAAGAACTTGATTCTCTCCTGTAGCAAACGTAGTAGATGCACCTCTGTCGGTGAAACGTCCTCAGCTAATGCCCAGGCAGCTTCGGTTCTTGGTCTAATGGATATAAAAGTTGCAGTACTTAATTAAGCACGTATTAAATTTGTAATTCAAAAAAATTCTTCATTCATCTTTTCATAACGTTTCTTTTCAGATTTTGAAATAAAACATGTTATACTTACATTTTTGTGAGTTTCAAATCACTGAGCGTTGGGGTTTTTACATGTTTGTTACTCAGCCCACACGCTCTCAAATCCCGTCTTTGCGTCCACTCATCAGGGGTTTGGGTCATCTTTCCAAACAGCCAGTCTTTGTACATAGATGGTCGTAAACGTCGAACAAAAGGTTCCATTGAAAATCGAATGTTTACCGCAGTTCTGAAAACATAAAGAGATTCGTTAATTTTTGTCTTAATTTAATGAAATGGGGGACTATTTAATAATAGCTGTTTACCTGTTTATTAAATATATACGGCCGTACTTTTACAATGAAATATAGACTTAACTGTTTTTTCAGTCCTTGGGACGCATTACCGATACTACATCGGCGATATTGATGCTACATGCTTAATATTTGGCCGATGGTATGTCGGGGTAAATGTAATTTCATTTAATAACGCCGATGATATTCAAGCACGACAAGTAATGATAAGCAAATAAATGAATGGGAATAAGTGTTTATGCATTACTGTAAATTTGGAAGTTGAAAAAATGTGGATTAAATTCTACTTTGACATTCGCGTTTTGAGTGAATCAGGAGAGAAATAAAATTACATTGTACTCACTCACAAGAGCAGTTCACAGCTGCTATTCCGTAATCAACCCAAAATTCAGGGGCAAAATTTACTGCAACATTCCAGTTGAAGCCTGTGTTGAAGCCACCGTGATGTCCCTTAGGAAATGTTACTATCATTTCCCAAGGATGCTGGACAGCTATTACAGGTTTGATCCCGTATTTGTGCAGGAAACCCTCCGCAAATAAAAAGTGCTTGTGTCTTGCTGGCACATCACAAGCACCTGCACCAAGATGAAGTTTCAGTACTGCTTCGTACTGCGCCAAGTGTTCCATTGGAATCCCGTACCTATTGTACAAAATAAGATGTTTACAGTTATACTATTTACTAACTTTCGGTAAGGTAACTCACCAAATTTTTGGGTAACCTCCGAGGCTTAGGTTGATCGAAACCAAGTCCATGTCTTCACAATGCATGGCAAATGCTGTACCCCTGGCTCCCAAGAAGTAGAATGGTGACGTTATCCCTGGGAACCATGTTCTTCCTTTCAATGATGTCAGCAAAAGTGGGAGTCGGTTGCCGTGCATTACAGAAAGATCCACTTTGTACCTATCCTATAATGAATAAGAAAATAAACATTTTAATGAAATTCTGGAAAATATACATAACACATATACATATAATATATAATACACATATTACTTATTACATATTACATATAATATATATACACCGTAACATTTACGTTTATCATTTAACTTTTCAACTTATTGTAGATATGTGGCCAAGTAATTGGGTTTTGCCGATGACACATCGGCAATGCATGGAAGACTGCATTTCAACATCGGCAAAACGTGGGCTTGCCTGGAGAATGAAAAGATGCACGTGATGCATCGCCGACACAACATCGGCATTTAATTTTACCTGCACTTATACATTATAAATATTTCAAATAAACCGAGAATTATAATAATTTCAGTTTACTTACTTGTGTGGTGTAAAAGGAACTACCTGCGTAATAACTTAATACATTACATTCCCTAACTTAACTTAATTTTAAAGGCGATTTGCAATTGCTCAATGCACTTACTTTCTTGCCTCACACTTTTAAAAAGGAATATTCTTTTTCATTCCCAAGTATTCAGGGTAAAGCAAAGTTGTCCCATTTCCAAGTAGAACACTCTTCTACAAGAAGCATTAGGTAAACAGGGATAGTCACGCACCCAGTCACTCTCCCTGCATGAATCCGAAATCCCAAGCAAGTCAGTTACTGTAAATCACCCATTACCTTACTCGCAACTTGGGCAAAAGACCAAATTTCTGTGAATCACCAACACACACATTCTCTCAAAATATCGGCCCTTTTACGTAAAAACATATTCAGTCTAGCATTGGGTGCCACACTGCCTGTGTCACACTTGCTGCAGAATATTTCCGAAGTCAAAAATGGTGCAAAATTTTTTGCTATCCCAAAAGCAACAGGAAGAAGTGTGTGCGTATAGACAAAAGTTCCCGAAAGTTAGCTTACTGCAAATGTCCAGGCACTTTTCAGTGGTGTGGAAAACAAGTGTCTCAACCCAAAGCTTGAAGGACATTGTGGGTGATGAAGCGAAGAGGAAAGAATGTTTAGCGAAAGTTAATGATCGTGAAAAACGCCAAGAAGTCGAGGAGCACTTGAAAACCTGGATAAAACATGTCTTTGTTAAGCATGACTTCGTGAGTGACTCTGTCATACTTGAACAGGCGAAGAAAATGTGTGAAGATAGGAACATAGAAAGGGATACATTTAATATTTCATGGTTGACAACGTACAAGAAACAGAACGGTATTTCAATTCGGAAGAGAAAGCATTCATCATCAGAAGTACACTTGCAAACTGTGTCAGAAGGGTGCAGAGATCTTAGTGAAAAAATGTCCTCATACGACTTGGAAAATATCTACAATGTTGACGAAAGTTGCCTGTACTACGGATTGCGTGATGAAAATTACAAGCAAGGAAGAAGGTGTTTAAAACGTCTGGAAAATAAGAATTTGTCGTTGAAGGAAAGACAGTCTGAAAGAAGGATATACTTGCCCGTAAAAAAAGAAAGACTCACTATCGTCTTTTGTACCAATGCTGATGGAAGTGACAAAAGAAAACTAGCAGTTATCAGGCAAGGAGGAGATGTGAAATCCATGAAAAAATTCAAGCACAACCATTACGTAAATTGGATACGTAACAAGAAAGGTTGGACAACACTTGTGGCTTTCAGAACGTGGATGTGTGATTTTAATGAAGCAATGGCTAAGGAGAACAGACATGTACTGCTTTTAATGGACAATGCTCCCTATCATAAAAGGGGGAAACGCTTAAGCAATGTACAAATTGAGTTCCTGCCACCATATTGCACAGGAATGCTGCAACCCCTCGATGCAGGAATAATAAATATATTCAAGTCAAACTACAAGCAGAATGAAGTTGCTCACATTGTCAAGTGTTTGAATAATGAAGATGCAGCAAGTATATCATTCAAGGATGCGCAACGTTTGATTTACAAATCTTGGAATGAAGTTACGCCTGCTGTTATACGCAGGTCTTGGGAAGAAACCTGTCTAATCCAAGAATTTATCAAAAAGAAAGCAAGCCCAGTTATGTCTGCAAAAGAAGCTAAGACCTGCATTTCTCGGTTACAAATTTTTTTGAAAAATGAGTGTACAGACTCTTCGATAATGGATAATGTTAATGCCATTAGTATGTGGGTTCACAAATGTGCGGAACAGAAGAAGAAGCAATCATTAATAACTGATTATTTTCGACCACTTGTGAGTATATATTCAAAAAAACTTGGAATAGTTATGTTGATACCATCATGTCATTGTTGACAGGATAACCATTGACGGGGAAAACCAATTTCACAAATGTTAACATAAATTTGTTAACATTGCTTTTGGAACACAGTGCATTGGCGTGATTCAACATAAAAACGGCATTACACGGTGAGAAACAGGTGTTGCATGCAGGTGGTTAATTATAATTCATACAACATTAATTTCACTTGCAGGTGTGCTCAAGAGGATTGATATGGGAATGAAGGTGTCTACGGGTAATTTGAAAAAAGGTTGTGGACATGAATTTCTGATTGTTTCCTTTTGTTACTGTATTCTGTTCTTAATTACTGCTTTTTGTAATTGTTAATAAATCATGTTCAATAAATCATGTCTGTAAACATTTTTGTCTTGTTAATACATCATGTTCATGTCTGTAAACATTTTTCTATGTATTTCTTCTAAATACTTAAATCAAGTAACATGCACATGCAGTAACATGCACATACATTCATAGTTACGTTTATATGTTTTAAATCATATATTATAATCACTGAATACGTTTCAAAATATAATATTAATTACTCAAGTTAACATAAAAAATGTAATTATATTAGATAATATATGTTAAAAGGGAAAATCCCACCCTTTAATGTTACCGTTCGTAATTCGTACTTTGTTAGTATACATTTGTTCAAAGAATATTTGAAAAAATTTATAACTGTCATTTAAAGAAAATCAGCGTTTGAGAACATCGGGTACATTTCAGTATCGGACTTTTTGTAATTGTTAATAAATCATGTTCAATAAATCATGTCTGTAAACATTTTTGTCTTGTTAATACATCATGTTCATGTCTGTAAACATTTTTCTATGTATTTCTTCTAAATACTTAAATCAAGTGCTTAAATTTAATGTTACCGTTCGTAATTCGTACTTTGTTAGTATACATTTGTTCAAAGAATATTTGAAAAAATTTATAACTGTCATTTAAAGAAAATCAGCGTTTGAGAACATCGGGTACATTTCAGTATCGGATATTCTAACCGATGTGTCGTCGGATTATTTCATGTACTCGGTTTTTCATGTATGTATTCTGTTATGTTGTTTGTTGATTTCAGTATTCATAAAATCATTAATACTATTACACATTACCCAACCCTACCCCCTCGTCCATTCATTCATTCACCTTTATTATTCATTAATTTGACAGTATTTTGTTCATTATAAACCATCGGCGAAAATTTGGAATGTAATTGTGACAACATCGGCATTTTACAGCGGTACAAATAAGGGCGGGTATGTTCAAGCCTGTGATTTTGTAACCGACGAGCCGTCAGTTTATAGACCATTCATATATAGACCATCGGCAAAAATTCAGAATGTAATTTTGACAACATCGGCGTTTTACAGCTGTACAAATAATAAAAGCGGGTATGTTTCAGCATGTGATTTTGTAACCGATGAGCCATCGGATTAATTTACACACACTATAAATAATGTACTCCTGATATGGACTTGTTACATTACTACGGCAAATGAATGCTAACGTGACTGTATGCTGTCACTCAATATTACACGAAAATGTGAATAATGGGAATTAATACTAATGGATACATGAAGTATATAACAATTGTTTCATTAATGCATTACGGTTTAAATGCAATAAACAGAACTCACTTTTTCATCAGGAACATTCTCTTGCTCCTTCATCTTTGAAATTCGCCTTTTGACAACTTCCTCAGGTTCCTCGACGTGTAGTTCTGTTACGTAAGGCAATTCCTCCGTTACACCTTCTGCTTCAAGTTGTAGAAGCTTCTCCCAGAAATCCTTCCTGTACTTCTCGATTGCATTCGGTGACAGCCTTCCATCCTGCCTTCTTCAAGTAAATGTACTTTATGTACTCATCGAAATTATTCCACATGCTAGCATCCAATGGGTAAGTTGGACAATAGCGATATGGATAATTCGTCTGAGACATAATGTCAACTTTCAGCAGTTTGTATATGCGCCTGCAATTTTAAAAATATATATATATACATATATAATACACCAAGAGTTTCTTAATAACGTTCGGAACATATAAAACACATCACACACACATATAGTACGTATATATCATTGAAAACGCTTTCATATATATTAACTAATACGCAGCACACAGCAGTCATGCTGAAAAAAAAGAAGGGAATGCGCTGATTGACAAGCGCCAGGAGAATGTGAAGAATTTCGCCCACATGAGAAATTCCATGGTCAAAACTCTCCACATTCAATGGCACGAAGTCACACACGAAGTCACACACATATACTACAAATTATACAAGTACAAATCAACATATGTCCGCTGAAACACCACACTATTGCACAGAACTTTCACCTATTATAACTCCGACAGCACAGGAGACGAACCATGCGAACGCTGATTGACAAGCGCCAGGAGAATGTACAGAATTTCGCCCACATGAGAAATTCCATGGTCAAAACTCTGCACATTCAATGGCACGAAGTCACACACGAAGTCACACACATATATACTACAAATTATACAAGTACAAATCAACATATGTCTGCTGAAACACCACACTATTGCACAGAACTTTCACTTATTATAACTCCGACAGCACAGGAGACGAACCATGGGAGCGCTGATTGACAAACGCCAGGAGAATGTGAAGAATTTCGCCCACATGAGAACTTCCATGGTCAAAACTCTCCACATTCAATGGCACGAAGTCACACACGAAGTCACACACATATACTACAAATTATACAAGTACAAATCAACATATGTCTGCTGAAACACCACACTATTGCACAGAACTTTCACTTATTATAACTCCGACAGCACAGGAGACGAACCATGGGAGCGCTGATTGACAAACGCCAGGAGAACGTGAAGAACTTCGCCCACATGAGAAATTCCATGGCCGAAGCTCTCCAAGTTCTATGGCACGAAGTCACACACACACAAATTACACACACACGTATACTACTCAATAGACACATAACAATTTCTATTAAATCATACTTTTAAACTCAACAAAGAAAACGCAATGTATATATGTAATACGAATACGGCGGACCCGCGCGCCCAGGAAAATGCCAACGGAAATCCTTTGACGGCTGAATTCAGGCGCGGCGCCATCTTACATTAAGAGGTACAATCCTCAGTCACAGATGAAACACATTTCTGATGCGGTTTACAGTATATATTGGCAAGTAACAATGTCATTTACCTTTTTGTTACTTATATATACCAGTTGTATGTCATTACTATAATTCCTTTCTTTTGTCCATTTCATTATGTCATTAACTAAAAGGATTTGGGTGTTAACAGAACATGGGTGTTACCAGTGTTACCGCAAGGATTCGGCAATAAATAATTTACAGGATCAAACGTCGGCAATAAGAAAATATACTACCTACACAAAAACATTATTTTCCACATCAATATGCGTTTGGCCGTGTATTACATTAATCTGTACTATAAGAATCTTTTCAGTAGTGGAATGACAATCTAACTATCTAGAAGTATCTAACTACCAGCCAGTTGCCGTTGTGCATCGGTTAAACTACAATCTTCAACATTGTCCATCGGCGTAACATACTGCATTGCCGTTGTACATCGGCAAACATACTGAATCGCCGTTGTACATCGGCAAACATACTGAATCGCCGTTGTACATCGGCAAATCGGCACACAAATTCAAAAATTAAATAAGAATTACATATCAATGACAAGTGGTCTCGAATATTACACATCTACACCCATATAAGATTAGACTACAACAATACACACAATTCATGAAATATTGATTAACCTTATATATCTATATGCAGTACCAAAACAACGATGGGATGTTTTATTGATTTGACTCACATCAACACGAATATCACCATTCTAAGGCAGCTCAAAATTATCTAACTAACAGCCAGTTGCCGTTGTGCATCTGCTAAACTACAATCTTCAACATTGTCCATCGGCGTAACATACTGCATTGCCGTTGTACATCGGCAAACATACTGAATCGCCGTTGTACATCGGCAAACATACTGAAACGCCGTTGTACATCGGCAAATCGGCACACAAATTCAAAAATTAAATAAGAATTACATATCAATGGCAAGTGGTCTCGAATATTACACATCTACACCCATATAAGATTAGACTACAACAAAACACACAATTAATGAAATATTGATTAACCTTATATATGTATATGCAGTACCAAAACAAGGATGGGATGTTTTATTGATTTTTCTAAGGCAGCTCAAAAGTATCTATAGCTAACTGCCAACTGGAGCCGACTCAAAAATAAATAAATCACAAAAATAATATCATATTTTTATAAATTGTCACGCACAGCACAGCGCAGCAGTCAACAGAGCGTCTCCCAATAACTAACTAACAGCCACTTGGAGCCGACACCCGTGCCCACATGTGACTCACCCAACAACAGCAACTCCCACACATCTAGCTAACAGATTAGGGGGGGGGGGGCCACTGTATATCTATCTGCCATAACAAAACAACAAAGGGATGTTTTTGACTCCAATAAGCCACATCAGCACGAATATCACCAAACCACGGCAGCTCACAAGTATCTAGCTAACAGCCAGTTGGAGCTGACTCAAAAATGAATCAAAAATGAAGTATCCCGCAGCAGTCAACAGAGTGTCTCCCAAGTAACTAACTAACAGCCACTTGGAGCCGACTCACAAACAACACCCGTGCCACATGCGATCCCACCCAACAACAGCGACTCCCACACATCTAGCTAACAGCCAGTTGGAACCGACGCCCAAATGACTCCTAATCTCAACAGTCAACGGCAGCTCCTGAGTATCTAGCTAACAGCCAGTTGGAGCAGACTCCCAAACGACACCCTTGCCACATGCGATCCCACCCAACAACAGCAACTCCCAAGTGTCTAGCTATCAGCCAGTCGGAACCAACTCCTAAAAGACTCCCAATGACCCCAGTTGGTAACAACTAACTGAAAGACTAGTAAAAATGTAAATTTGTACATCTCCATGATTTACAGAGTTGACGTTCAACACGTTGGTACCTACTTGACATTTACCTTGATAACAACTCCTATNGCAACCGACTCCTAAAAGACTCCCAATGACCCCAGTTGGTAACAACTAACTGAACAACTAGTAAAAATGTACATTTGACCATCTCCATGATTTACTGAGTTGACGTTCAACACGTTGGTACCTACTTCACATTTACCTTGATAACAACTCCTATGCTCAGGGCGTCGGAGGTTTTCCAGGGAGTTGTGGAAATCTAGAAAATGACTACTTGTATAACTACCTAGTGCCAGCACCCCAGCTTCCAACTCCTAACATTTTTGCTGGGAGTACTCTGTTTAATAACGGCGGACGTCTTCTTTACAATGCCGATCATCTGTACATAAATCGTAAAGCTAATTCATTGCGGGGACCATGATCACGGGAGTCGTAACTCATCCGTGAATTATGTGGTTTGCATTCTTGGGTGTATATATACAGCATGTACAGTACTGTACTAAAAATTGTCGAGCATGCGTCAAGAAATGTCGGAGCTATCCTAGTTGGGGGGACCCAATGCCTTCTTCCGTGAATGGATGAATGTGAATCACCTGCCGTTTCTGCGCGGTAATCGCGATGATTTTGGAATGATTACCGCGATTTTGATTGAGTGGAGTGTATTTATGTGGGTGATCTTTGCGTGAAATTTGGCCTCATGCAGTATATGCTCACCGTGAGTGGACTTCTCGCCGGAGCTCACATGTGAGCTGCCCAATTATTTACGCTGCTCCCCCTTCCCCCTGCCTCACTCCCTGAACCCATCACTCTCTCTATGAAGAAAAATCATGAGAGACTTCAGAAGAAGGGAGTGAGGCAGGGGGAAGGGGGAGCAGCGTAAATTCGGCAGCTCACATGTGAGCTCCGGCGAGAAGTCCGTCCACCATGCTCACAGGATCTCGATCCCTCAGTTTCAGCCGGAAGTCCCGAAACCCTCACCGGGCATCTGCTTCTAAAGAAAATCGTTTTATTAGGGAACGCGGGTCGTGGTCAAGTGGAAAAGGTCGGTTACAAGTGCGGGTGTAATGCTATACATATATGCAGTGTTGAGAATCCTACATACGAGCATGAGAGCGAGAATAAACCGTTTCACTCAGGCGCCCTCCTTCCTCTATGTGCAACTGCACCCGTGGCCGAGAAACAATAAAGCGGAGGCTGAAGATAGACATCTCGAACAGCAGAGGTGAAATCTGAGAAGATCGATTCGTTATTGTTTCGCTTCGCCTCCCTCGTATAACTACTGCATAAATGGACGATTCTCTTCCCAGAATATATGGGAAACTTGGACTTGCAACCATATTACCGGTTACTGCTGTGACGTACTTTATTACCGTCACACCGTCGGAGTTTCAGGGTATTATTATCGTATCTGTACGTCTGTGATTATGAACTGATGTTCGAAATGCGATCGAGGAATCAGGATATATTTTGCTCACAATTCATTCACACATTTGCGGTACACGAAAGTCAATGACGATTTATTTCTTGCATATAGGCGTCAAAGGAGGGGATTTATTTTTGATGATCACTGCGGAAGGAAATGTCTTCAGATGCAATATCTCATCATCAGTAACACGTAAATTTCTGCACCATAGTTTGCCATTTATGTCTCAATGAACCGTTTTTTCCCCCTTCAATTGTTCATTAGTATTACAATATTTCAACATCTATTGAGCTTTATATATGTCATGTTAACACAATAATGTGTAGCACACATTTATACAGTATTCCATTCGATGATGAGTTGCCGCAATATTAAGTGGATTCGAGTAGCACAACTTTATCAGTCCATGAAATCGCGTAAGTGTATCACTTTTTCCCTCGTTTCGTAGTTATGCCAAATGCTGGAGTTACCTCTGAAATATGATAGCGAGAGGGAGAAATGTCGAAACGAAAAAAAAAATCTCTTACAAAATTAGGGTGTATACAGTAGCTTATTTCATCTGCCGCATATTAATTGTGCTGTATAAAGAGTGCCAACATGACGCAATAAAGCTCTGCTTGCGAGATTATGTTAATATGAAAACTTGAAAATACTGTATCATTCTCCGACGGAATTTTTCCGGATAAGATTCAACGGTTATTTGCTCTTCGCATTGGATTTGCAAGCATCGCACATACTGTATTTACTTGAATCGGGTCGTGCTCCGAAGTGTTGCGGTTAATTTAACCAGTGGAATTTCAATCGTCATTACAAAGGCGAATGGGATCAACATTTTCGGAAAACCTCGTGTCATCGACTGGTATTTTGCACGGGTTCTATGTGCATGCTGGGAATAAGCCAGCCTGCTGTATTTCTGAAATCAGAGAACGAGCCGTGTTCTCTCTATTCGCGGAAGCATTCCGTTTGTCAGTTCGTGTGTTATTATGTAATAGTGTTCCATGTTATTGTGCCGTTATATTTGCTGTGGAAATCAATTTCGACCGGAACGAGCTGAAAGAGAGGAACGAAACGCAGAGGGAGTTTTGGACTTCACACACTGCTTAAGCAGGTCATCGGCGGGTCGAAGATTTCTCTTGCCACAGGAATCCATTTTGAGTGTTCAAGGATAATTGTGTTCCCCCAGCAAGAATACCAGCGTAAGACGACTTACTTCACCCTGTGCTTAAACGGCTGTTTCTCGATTCTGGTCCGCCCTTTTCTCATCCTTATTGTTTCTTCTCTGCTGTATGTGTATAAATAGGATGTCCAACAACTCGGGCAGGTCCGAGAGATCGACTGTATGTTATTTATCCGTTGCATTAGGCGGAAAATTCATGAGCCAGGTTACTGCATGTTCAGGGTTGCCAAACTTGGATTTCAGTGGATGTGATCAACTATACTGGAGTACCGGAGTCCACCTCTCTCAAAATTTAGAGGAAAAGGGGAGGAGCGCGTCATATAGGTGGCAGTACTGTATATGCATTTTATTTGAAAGATTCAGAATTTCAGTGGTGCTCATTGTCTTTAAATGAAGTGTGAAAATTTTGACTAATATCAACAGAAATAACCTCTTGTATGAATGATTGAACAGAATGAACAGAAAACTTTATTTGCTGCTTTTCAGCGTTCACAAGGCACAACCTAGACTCCCACATCCAAACCCCCTCCCCACTCAACCCAACTCCCCCCAAAGACATTCAATCACTTCAAACCATGAAACAAAGCACAAACCAATGGCAAAAACAAAAGAGAACACACTCCACAAAATAAAACTGGAAATCCTACAGGTATGCTGCATACACCCACCCATCCCCAATATTGAAGACAAAGCAGCAGTAAAAGTTTATTTAAAGCACAAGGTCTTCAGCCTGTTTCTGTATGAGAAATACCTCTTGTATTGGAAACAATTGAAAATCAGCTGAATTCCAGATAAATTCATGTCTAAATTTGAATTGTGGTGCTTATATTTTATGAATCATGCTGTTATATTCTATATAGTCAGTAAAAATGAGGTGCTGTGCATCTTACCCAAGGCTGGTTATGCAGTAATTTTATAGGACAAAAATGATGTTTAAGAAGCATATTAAAAATTAAATATCTGTTGCAAACTTTGCTGAATCTGGACACCCCTATACCCTGAGTCAAGTTGAATAAAAGTCTTAAAAAAAAAGTAACTGAAGTCATTTG